AACTCCCAGAATTCCCCAGCCAGCCATGGCTGGCTGGGGAATTCTGAGAGTTGAAGTCCACCTATCTTAAAGTTGCTAAGCTTGAGAAACACTGCATTACAACATCTCTGACAGATGATCACCCGTCTCTAATTGAAGATCATATTTAGGAACAGTCTGGCATCTTTTTCAGCACCACAACGTATAGACTTGCCCCGCTGTGGAGCTTACTGGCAGGAATTCTTGATCGGATGGCAGCTGTAAATCCCCCAAGTGTTAATAATGCTTTACTGAAAAGAGACAGCTGCCTGTCAAGGCAGAAATGGAGCTGCGAGATCTTTTCCTACTCATTCATCATCTCCAGTACAAGCTTCCCCTGTTTCAGCTTTGTTCTGCTGGTAAATTGCTCTTAAGGGCATGGCCCAAAAAAAACAGGCCAGGAGATAAGATGGGTTGGAAATCAGTTTTTTTTTAAAAAGGAGAACCTGTATGGTTATAAGTAGGCTAGCTTTAGACTACACGTGTCATGTTTTCCCGTCTCTGACCAAGTTTTTAGAAGAGGGGGTTTTAAACTGGGGGTAATTTCCCCTAAGGGGATAATCTGGGCATGCCCTGGGGGTAGTGGAGCAATTTGTAATTGCTAGTTTATGAGTCAAGGATCCCGTGGGGACTGATGCTGCCAAGACGCTTGTCTAAAACAGTCTTTTTTTCTTTGTGGGGGTAATAATGTTATTATTTCCGGGAAAAGGGGAAATTGGGTCAAACAATTTAAGAATGTTTTAGGATACATTTTAAGGCCTTGCATCTATCCCACTCTCCCAAATCAGTAACGCTGATTGTTCTCTGTCCCTTATCATCTTTTCGTTAATTGTGGTTTTGTATCTTGTACAATGAGCAGAGGTATTTCAGACTGGGTAGACTTACAAATCCAGTGCATCAAATTAAAATAAACGGCTTTGGACTTGTGTTTATTTATTTTGTCTGGGCCACTTCGTTTTGAAAACTAAGTTTCTTGTTTTCAGGAGCAATTCAAGGTGCTCTTTTCCCCTTTAAAGACTTTAATGCAGTGTTTTTCAAGTCTGGGAACCTGAGTGGACTTCAAATCCCAGAATTCCCCAGCCAGCATGATGACAACTCACCGGACCCCAGGGCCAAACCCCGCAAGCTACTCCATTTTGCTAGTGTTGAGTTGCAAATGGTCCCTCCCCATCCAGGCACCCGCGGCCTCCGGGCACTGGGCAAACAGTTGTACAGGCACGGGCTTCCTTTGTTTTATTGATTGATTTTACAGTATTTATAGCCTGCCCCAGTCTTGATGGACTCTGGGCAGGATATAGCAAATTCCCCCTGCCCAATGCATTAAAAACGTACGTACATATATACGTACGTACGTGTGTGTATGCGTGTGTATGTGTCTGTATGTCTGTGTGTATGTGTGTGTATGTCTGTGTGTATGTGTGTGTATGTCTGTGTGTCTGTGTGTCTGTGTGTATGTCTATGTATGTGTGTGTCTGTGTGTGTATGTCTGTGTCTGTGTGTATGTGTATGTGTGTGTATGTCTGTATATATGTGTATGTGTATATATATATGTATGTATGCATGTATATATGTGTGTGTATGTGTGTAAGTATGTATGTGTGTGTATGTATGTATGTGTGTGTGTGTGTGTGTATATATATATATACACATACACACACACACACACACATACATACATACATACATACATACTAGAAATCCACAATAAAAATGTCGTTGAGAGCCAGGGTGGTATAATGGTGAAGGTGCTGAACTAGGAGTGGGGAGACCCAGGTTCTAGTTGCCCCGCAGCCACTGAAGCTCATTGGCTGAATTTCGGCCAGCCCCTTCCTCTCAGCCCAAGAGCCGATCAGGTGTAGTGGAGAAAGGGCTGGAGTAGGAACGGGGAGACCGAGGTTCTAGTTCCTCCTAGGAAGCTCATTGGCTGACTTTGAGCCAGTTCCTCCCTCACAGCCCAACCTACTTTGCAGGATTGTTGTGAGGAAAAATAGAAGAAGTGAGCTCCTGTCCAAAAGGCAGAATATAAATCTAATAAATAAATATCTGGATACATCAAAGGCTCCATTCGCTTAACTGAAGGGCAAACGCCTAATGGAACATTGCTGCTTTGGCCAATAGTTTTCCAAATACCTGAAGAATATTCCATAAATTGGGGGCCACCGCTGAGGAGGCCTGTCACCTGGCCCATGCCCCGTGAACTTGGTGAGCAACAGGGACCTGCAACAGACCCTCTTGAAATTACCAAAATGTGATTAATTCAGTGATGATGCCATCTGTTCCACAAAAGCAGTTTTTTGCAAAGGGCCATTGCTTAGTGGATGACTGCTTTTTTTGCCTCTGTTCAGACTCGTTTTAAAAGACAAACTACAGTCTGGCTGTAGTACATACAATTTAATAATTCATTTATTAGATTTATTAGACCTACCATTGGTCCAGCTTAGTATTTTCTACACCAGTAAATATAAAGCATAAATACAACGGTCTTGCTTTTTCGTGGCCCAGAAAACAACCTGAAAACTGCTGCCAAAAATGAGAAGAGACTAAAATTAAATCCAGTGGGATTCTTATGTGCTTATAACAGGAGGCTGGTTTTCACACATTTAAAGAATTGTTAAGTATTTGTCCTGCATAGATTGGTTTTTTTTTTAATATATTTTTCTTCATCTTGCAAGGATACAGAGAACCTTCTTCTTGTTAGGAACTGGCACATTTGTCAAGAGTGTGGTCACAAATGAGAGAAGAAAAAGAACCAGCGTTTCAACCCAAAAGGATGCTTGGACCTGTACAGGCACATACAGGTAACAGGATTAAGGAGCATCAAGTAATCAATGACAAAACAATGGGGGGTGGAAAAGTTAGTCATTTTCTTGAGGGGGGAGTAAGGGCAACAGCTGAAGGTACATGTAAGGTTCCTCCCCCCCAGGTGCAGCATTAAAACATGAAAAAGTGATGGATGGAGAGATTGATGACTCTGTGAAGTGTGTCAGCAGTATCTTAAATCACAGCTGATCAGAAGGCTGCTGGCCAGGGGATGGCTCCACCAATTATACAAATGCTGTGGGACTGCAGCTCCCATCATCCTTCACATGCAGTCTGGGGTTGCTTCAGCACCTTTGGAAGGGTCACACCTGCCTTGGAGTTTAAAAGGGCAGATGACTTCAAGCGGACCTTGCTTCTTCCTGTAATTAAACCCTTTTGGCTGCATTTCCCACACCGGACCAGCTGGCTTGGTCAGGTGGCTTTACCAAACCTCCATCTTCTGAACCAGTCTATCTGTAAATATCTATTCATGATAAGCAACCAATAGAAGAAGTATGCAGTATTGCTGCTTGTTGGATTAGATGGCTGTTTGGTTGGCTATGTTATTCACAATTTTTTTTTATATTAGACAGAAGCAGCTGTCTTGCTTTGAAGCAAGGCAGTGACCCCTCCTAGGTCAGTATTGTCTATGTCAGTGTTTCTCAACCGTGGCAGCTTGAAGATGTATGGACTTTAACTCCCCACTGTCTCCCCCCCCCTCCAACCCGGGCTGGGGAGGCTG